GATCTGTGAGAGACAAGTAATGTTGTCACAAGCAATGGTGTGAAAGTTTTATTTTCATGGCAAATAAGTATTTCTGTTGTGCTGTTTGTTAAAGCAGTGTTCCTGTCGGGCAGTTATACAGTTGTGGTTGTATAGCTAGGGTTTTTTTGTATTTACAGACCACTTGATTCAAATGTGCATGAAAGGATACACATAGATGGGTACTACTTTTGTTGGGGTGGTAGGAGTGTTAAATAAATAAAAAATGAAGATGATTATGTCTTTTTTTCCTCAATTCAGTTGTTTAATTTCTATAGGTTTTATGACATTCTAAAAGCTCCACACTACAAAACTACAAACAGTGTATTCACTAGGTTGCTTCAGAGGCATAAGGTCCTGAAATAATGCAAAAATAATATAACAATGCATTGATTAACATTTACTTTGTACTTTTGATACTCAAGTGCTTCTGTACTTTTACTTCACTAAAAATCAGTCTTTACAACTTTTACTTGTAATGGAGTAATATTTGATCATTAGTATGTGTACTTTCACCCAAGCAAGTAAGTTGTGTACTTGGTCCACTTCGGCCTCTGGCAAGCATGTCACTTCCAGGAGAAGTCAAAAAACTTTGGAAAGAGCTGTGTGTGTGTGTGCACGAGTGTGTGTAGGTGTGTGTCAGCGGAACATTTCATGAGAAACAAGTTTAAAGTAACAGCTCTTTGTTCAGACTGAACCGGCAACATCCCACAGGAAGTTTTGACGTTGCAAGGTCTGGGATACAGGATGCAAAACAATATTATGAGTGTGTTCTCAGTAGCTGTGACCCTCTTATTAACGGTGCTTGCTAAAGTAAGCAGTACTTTTACTATTGCTCATACTTCAGGTATGAACAACCCCTTAGCCCTAAATATTAAACAATTGCTATTTAACTTGAGCTGGTTTTGGGGGCCCTCAGCTATATAATGAAAACTGGCCTCATAGGTACAAACCTTTTTATAGCATAAAACATTTAAAGGGATACTCCACTTTTTTGGAAACAGGCTCATTTTACGACTCCCCCAGAGTTAAACAGTTGAGTTTTACCGTTTTCAAATGTATTCAGCTGATTTTCTGATATTTAGAGAAGAATATCAGTAAACAGACAGTTTCTGGTCTCATTGACTTCTATAGAAGTCAATGAGACCATAAAACCCAACTGTTTAACTCTGGGGGAGTGGTAAAATGAGCCTATTTCCAAAAAAAGTGGAGTATCCCTTTAAAGAACCACTAAAATATGGTGTGGTTTCTTTGTTTGGGCACTAAAATGTCAAAAATTTAAATATGCAGTTGTTAACTAAAAGCAGTTATTTCTACCTGATCTGGCCAATAAAATCAATGACTTCTGCGAGTGTAAGCCAATGGAGTCTGGTCAATCCAGTCAAATTTACAACAAACGCACTCTACGCACATAAATTTGTTGTAAATTTGTCTGAATCAAGCAGACTGAATGCATGCGCACGTGTTGTGAATTAGGCAGAGATTTTTCGTAAGTAGTTCTCCTGTACGTACAAATACAAAATAATTCACGCAATTATTAGTGAATAAGACCCAATGATTTTATAAAAAATTTTCAGCTTAGCCATCACAGGAATAAGTTACATTTTAAAATTTATTACAATAATATTTCACAACGTATAATGTACTGTACTTTAGATCAAATAAATGGAACCTTGGTCAGCATAAGCAATTTAAAAAAAAATCTTACCGACTGCAAACATTTGAACCATAGCAGTTTTTATAATAGTAATCATAAAAAAAAATTAATGCATGTTTTCCCTTTTGTATTCTAATGATTAAGCAGATATAAACAATTACGAAAAAAATGACAAGACAAAATTGAGCTCAGCAATTTACCCAGACAAACAAGTCTCTAATCAGTTCACTTACTGAGACTGAATGTCATCATGGCCATATCAGAAGGGAGCAGCACTAGATAAACTTATCAAGTTACCAAACACACTGTAAAGATTTTGTGTTTTTAAAGTAACACATTTTTAAAATCAACACAGGGTCATTCACAAGAACCCAGAATGATCAAATCACAGATGATAAAACACATAGATAGCATTTTAAAGCATCAACATTGCACTACCAATACAAAGCAAGTTCCAAAAGGCAGCCGTCTGTATCTGTCCTTCATGGAGAAGGCAATCCCATAATCCACTGCAACAAGCTCAGCGAAACAGCTCCCAATATGGTCAAAACAAACGAAATGTTGATTAAAAATATATTTCATTTAATACTGAAATGTATTAATAAATCTTTGCGTTATTAAAATACACAAACATTGGCTAAAGAAATCAGTTTGAGTACCGTACTGCCACATTAAACTGTATTGCAATCAACTGTGTGAGTCATGTTCTCCAATGCGTAATGCTATTTGCTTAATGATGGTCTGCATGCCGCATATTTAATTTCAGCTAATAAGGGCGAGTGTGAAGTGTTTAAATAATCCATGGGCTTTTTTGTACCGTGTTCAGCAGCAGGCAGTGACCACACACGCCCTCTGGAGAATCACATAACAACAGCTGTTTATTTTTGGTGGTTATGCACCATATCGATCATTAAGCTGCAGTCAGCCCGGCGTGCATGTGTGTATTTGAGTGGATTCATGCTTCAATACATGGGTGGGGTTGAGGTGTGTTCTCACAAAGTTCTCCCTGCCATTACAGCCCATGTGGAACCTTCACATTCATCAGCTCACAAAGAAAAGCACACACACACACAAAACATAAGACAATTCACATGCATCCAATTCTTGTTCTGATCCCAAGCTAAACCGCAAAATGTACTGCACACTTTTAAATAAACATTTGAGACTTGTACACACAAAGCAAGCACTTAAAGTGACCTCAAGTAGAGGTCAAATTTTATCTTCCTCGCATGTTGAAATTTCTGCTCGGAAAACTCAGACTTTGCAATAATAAAGGGCAAGGCAAATGTTTTCCAGTCTCAGTCTTGGCACACATACACACAATAATATATAGGTATTTAAGAGACATATCTAAAGATGGTTTGGGGTAATTTGATGCGTCAACCTTCCCTGGTCCAACAAACAAGGAATAAACCACTGCTCATTGCTGTGTTATAACCAGTAATAAAACCAAAAATTCCCAAGCTAATGACTTCTAGATTGTAACAGGATTACTCTACTATTACACTGTCTGAACAGAAATTACTGAATGTCTGAACACATTACCCACAACTGAAAACACATACCCACTATTTACTAGTCAGGCAATACAAGGACAGATAAAGGCCTGGTTTCACAGACAGGGTTTAGATTAAAGGGATAGTTCACTTTGAAATTAATTTTTGGTATGTTTTAGCTTACCTCAAGGGCATCCAAGATGTAGGTGTCTTTGTTTCCACAGTATTTTCAATTTTGACATTTTTAGGTCAAACCGTTCGTGTCTGTCAGTCATATAATGGAGGTATATGGTCACCACCTCAAAAAGCATGCACAGAGAAGTCCAAATTAAACATGATTTATTGACTCGTAAATGTAAGTACACATTGATGGCCTAAGACACGAAACGAGCGGTTTGTGTGAGAAAACAAACAGTATTTATATCGTTTTTACGATCTAAATATGTTTAGATCTTCACAGTGAAAGGTAACACTTCTGAAATCTCGCCCTCATCCTCAGAGTACTTGGACGTGGCTGTGATTACAAGAGGTAAAAGCGATATAAATACTGTTTGTTTTCTCACACAAACCACTCGTTTCTTGTCTTAGGCCATCAATGTGAACTTACATTTACGAGTCATGAAAACATGTTTAATTTGGACTTCTCTGTGCATGCTCTTTGAGGTGGACCCCATAAAACTGCATTATAGGACTGACAGACAACACCGGTTTGACCGAAAAATGTCAAAATTGAAAATACTGTGGAAACAATGACACCTACATCTTGGATGCCCTTGGGGTAAGCTAAAACATACCAAAAATTTATTTCAAAGTAAACTATCCCTTTAAGCCAGCCCAGGATTGGGACTTATTTATAGAAGGATATTTAAGTACCTTTTATAAACATACCGAAGAAAAAAAAACATTGGTGTGCATCTTGAGACAAAACAGTGACATTGACATATTTTAAGATATGACAGTGCAAGTTGTTTTCAATTACAACAGCTCAAACATGCATTTTAGGCTTAAGCCTTGTCTGTGAAACCGGAGGAAAGTGTTTTAAGATCAAATGCATTTAAGCACTTTAAAGACAAACCTAACTGAATCCCTCACTTTTAGTTAGTGCAGAAGTTAGATTAGATTAGCTTCACGTTGCAATATCAAATGCTTAAGAACCAGGAAATAACTTACATTTTACTGCAATATACTTATTTGCATATGTCACAAATCCAATGTATTTTTATATGGCAAAACAGCCTAGCCTAGCAGCCTAGCCTTAAAGCTATGCCATTAAACAGCAATTACTTCACAGAGAAAACAAGCATGTGTTGACCAAATGAATTAGAGTACAATCATGTCGATTAAAATAATGCTTGTTTTTGTACATTAAAGCTAAAGTGTGTTATTTTTCAAGACTAAAATACCTTCTAACTCAGTTTTAAAGTGAACTAATCTTGGAAATACTTCCTGTAACTCACAATACAGCATGCGTTCGATGCGTTCGATTTCAAGTCACTTTGAATAGAAGTGCATATGTACGTTTATAGATGGGTCTATTTATACTGATGTTGTTGCTGGATTTTCTAAATTAACTTCCCAACTTTCATTACCCAAGGTGCACTTCTCCTTTTTCTTTAACTTCCCTGAGACATATCTGCTTACAGAACCAGTTTACGTTATGATTGATGTGAAACTAGTTTCATATATGGTTAACACAAAAGTCTTCCGAGCGAGACAGAAAAACGAAACAAGCCCAACAGTAAACAAAAACCCATACACCGTCTGATTCTGAAGAACTTGTATAAGGAAGGAGACAATGTTGTTAGGAGTAGATGGTGGTAAAGTGTTACCTGTTTTAAGTGTGGATTGTGGAAGTTCTACAGGTGATCCAGTGGCGAGCAGGTCTCCACGTATCTCTGCAGCGTGTCGGCGGGATTTCCTGCGCTGGCTCTTCAACCACCTGAACGCACGGCTGAAGGATCCTATCCGTCTCCTGCCCCGTTTATCTCTGCCCCCCTGCCGTTTCTCACTGAACACCTGCAGCATATCTGAGGGAATCAGATCCCCCACGGAGTCACTGCCAGAAGACATCGTGCGGCCTACCACAAAAACAGAAATAATAATGATTCACATTGTTTTGTTAAACTTGTTTTCTCTGGTTTGTAAATTACCTGGACACTAGACCGACCAACCCCTGAAATAAACTGCTTACTCGTTCATGTTTAAACATAGAGTGCAATCCACTTCATAGAGAATGAGTGAATTGAAACATTATTTCACACACTATATAAGTATAATGAGCAAAAGCTAAAGAGAAACAAAGACTAGCATTCATGTCCTCCAAAACACATCAAACCTTCTCCCAGTCTGGCATTGCTGGAAATACAACCTTAGACTTCAGTGATGTAGAATGCAGTTCTGAGGAATCACCTTGTCACGCGTTTCGGTTGTGAAACTTATTATCAAAAAATCAGCTGTTGATTGGATTTTGTGATGTGGCCATTGCATTCACAAATTAATGCAATCTTGCAGTTGATTGTAAAAAAGGGACAGGTTTAAGCAGACTGAATGATTAGAAGAATAGATTGAGATTTTCTAATTAAATCATTTGATTAAAAAGGACATGATCAAAAAGAATAAAAAGAAACATACATGGATGAATTGCTCACAATAAGATGATCTATAACATGCATTTACAAAACAGAAAGGGGGAATTATAATTTCATGCTGACTTTAGGTTACAAAAAATCTAAAATGATAAATCGATCTTTACTTATCTGAATACTACTGTTAGTAGCAATCTTCCTGAAAAACATAAAGCACGGTTTCATTTATATTTCTGTTGTATTTTGGTCGGTTATGTTTGTAATTAGTTTCTTTGTTCTTATTGTATTGCTGACTGTTTACTTGTCCTCTGTTTTGAGGACTTTTTACTTGCATTAATTTGCCTACCATTGGTTTTTGCTTAAAGGATTAGTTAGGGTTTTGGTTACCCAAAAATGAAAATTATGTAATTAATGACTCACCCCCATGTCGTTCCAAGCCTGTAAGACCTCCGTTCATCTTTGGAACACAGTTTAAGATATTTTAGATTTAGTCTTCTAGTTTTCTGTCCCCACTATACTGTCCTTATATAGACATAAATAAAGACATCATCAAAGCAGTCCATGTGACATCAGTGGGTTAGATAGAATGTTTTGAAGGTTCAAAAATACATTTTGGTCCAAAAATAACAAAAACTAACTTTATTCAGCATTGTATTGTCTTCCAATTCTGTTGTCAATCGTCGTTTAGTGACGCTGGTGACTTAAGACGCTGCTGACGTGTATCTGGTGAATCCATGTATTCGGGTTCAAATAAATATGGCTGGGCAAAAAAATGCAAGTCTTCCTCTGTGTGGAAATCCTTTGACATGTTTGCGAAGATTGTTTTGTTTACAGCGTGCGTCTCCCTCAGACTATGAACGAAGCTCGGGCGCATTGATAACACGTCAGCAGCATCTTACGTCACCAGCGTCACTGAATGAGGATTGACAACAGAACCGGAAGACAATACAATGCTAAATATAGTCGTAGTTTTTGTTATTTCTGGACCAAAATGTATTTTCGATGCTTCAAAACATTCTAACTAACCCACTGATGTCACATGGACTACTTTGACGATGTCTTTATTTCCTTTCTGGACAAGGACAGTATACCGTGTTCCAATGGAGGGAAAGAAAGCTCTCAGACTAAATCTAAAATATCTTAAACTGTGTTTCTGAAGATGAACGGAGGTCTTACGGGATTGGAACGACATGAGAGTGAGTCATTACTCACATAATTTTCATTTTTGGGTGAACTAACCCTTTAAGGAAAAACTAATGGTAGGTTAATTAATGCAAGTAAAAAGTTCTCAAAACAGAGCTTTACTAGGATTTTTGCTTTAATCTTAAGAGTAAACGCCCACATTTCAAAGAATTTTGCCACTAGGAGCAACTCTTTGCACTAAGATTCTTTATGAATAAAGAATTCGGGTTCTGGTCTCTGTATTACAGGTAATCTGGAATAAAAAATGTTTGTAAAAATTAGGGGAAAAAAATTATTTCATTATTTTCAAATGGCAAAAAAATGGATCATAAATATTGCATAAATATTATTAAGTAACATAAAATTCTCTCATAATACAAAATTAAAAAGAAAATTTATTATTGAACAAAAATAAATTGCATTGGTTTTACTGTGATGGAGAAAGTTTCATTTTTAGGCATCTGATCACATCTGACCGGGAAGATAACAAGAGTGAGAGCAACTCCTTATAAAAATATCTTTCTTAGGGAACCAATTGGCTTTATGCACAGCTGCACTACTTCCTGAACTTCAGCCAGCTCCTTTGTTTCCTGTCTGCCATTATTGGACAAATTGATTAATTCAGGTGTGCCTGATTATTGTTGCCATGACTACTGAGGTCAAGCACACCTGAATTAATCAATTTGTCCAATAATGGCAGACAGAAAACAAGGAGCTGGCTGAAGTTCATGAAGTAGTGCAGCTGTGCATAAAGCCATTTGAACCACGACTGATACTCGTGTCCCCTCAAAAAAAAAAAAAAAGAAGTCGAATTCTGTGCTTAGTTTAGAACGAAATTGTTGAGGAATTTGGTGGTCCTTCAGGGTCTGGTCCTAATGATGTGCATCGCACACCAAAATTGAGATTGAGTCTCATTCCTGAACACATAGTCACCAGCTCCACCCCTACACACACAGATACTGACACACACCCTTACACAGCACACATTCATGATGTGTAAAACTTTTAAACAAGGCATTATATCTTGAATAAACACACCCAGCAGATGTGTTTACTCAAGGAGGTCATTTTACCCAATTAATAGACGCACAAACAGTCGCACAAAGAACAGAACTTCACATTAATTCACAAGGCATAAAGTAAACAGCAACATGAAAATGATGCTGTTTAACATAAACAGCTCATTCAAAGAGGGATAGCTAGCGAGATGGATGTTGAAAAAAAGTACAATCAATGACATTAACACAGTGTAAAAAATGAGAAAACTGGAGCTGATTTCACGTGTGTGAGTGAAGCTGAGAGCAAGACATCCTCACGTGGCTGCAGAGTTTAATGGACCAATCAGAGTGCAGCTTTCTGACTCAGTCCATCACCATGGAAATGCACAAAAACAAACAGCAGAACCTGCAGTGGTGCTACAAAGTTTATCCATTCCTCACCGTAATTACATCAGTTTGATCCAGGATCAAAGTTAGAAACACAGACTCACATGTTCTCTGCAAGCTGCACATGATTCATTTGCATTTGGTTACATAATATTAGTTATTATAATGTACATGTTAGGAACTCATTTGCATGACATCACAGGTCTGTTTTGTTTGGATGATCTACCCATGGTTTAATTCACACATTCTCAAGCGCGCTTGCAGACAATTAATGCACACACTCCCATACAGAAACTCTCACAGCGCTGAGAAAAATGCACTGTAATTCCGAGAGGCGTGTGTATATGTGTCATGTGATTCAACAGTTTTAGGGTGGATTCAAATGTTGCACTCAAAACAACATTTTTTTGTGGTATTCCCCAAAAACTGAAACATATTAGTGCATATTATGCAGAGAAAAACATTTCAAGCAGTTAGTATGCTTGTATGTTATTATCTTTCTCACATGGCATCATTAGACAAGTTATAATCATAATTTCAGACTGTTGTTTTGCGGTTTTAATCCAATTCAACTCAGTCCAAACAAATCAGTCAAGGCAAATTAATTAAAAGATAACTGTTTACTGTTTGTGTGTCTGGAAATGGAAAGATGAGTGCACTGGATAATTGGATAGATCTGCACTAGTATTTTAGGTGTGCTGCACAACCATACTAATTATAGTATACTGTACACAGATGACCTACTACATTAGCCAAAATGTGCAGTATACAATGGAGATAATTGCAAGATAAATCTCACAATGCAATGGAACGATTCAACTTTCATTTCCAGTGTGGAGGTTGAATCAAAAATAATATCAGATGTGACTTTTAACATAAAATTGGGCTAAAAAAAAGTTATTTACAAGAAAAGCTGTACACTTACAGAAGTCACGTTACAATTTAAACAATTTTTTACAATTTAAAATGTTTTCCATTTTAATCTATTTTAAAATGTAATCATTACTTCAGTCTTCAGTGTCACATGATCATTCATAAATTATTTTAATATGCTAGTTTGTTGCTCAAGAAACATTTCTTCTTATTATCAATCTGATAGATAGATAGATAGATAGATAGATAGATAGATAGATAGATAGATAGATAGATAGATAGATAGATAGATAGATAGATAGATAGATAGATAGATAGATAGATAGATAGATAGATAGATAGATAGATAGATAGATAGATAGATAGATAGTACATACTATAATCAACAGGAATAGTGGGATAGCATACTATTCCAAACATTGCTACACTCTCTAAGTATGAGGTGTGTTCAAGAGATAGAAACCTGGCTTAGCACACCTGCACACACTATAGCAGAGATGATAAGCAGGAGAGGGTGTGTGTGTGTGTGTGTGTGTGTGTGTTCTTGTGGGTTACAGGAAATGGAGGTAAATCTAGAAGGTAAAATGCCTTGAGGTGTATTAGCCAGGAAACTGTGGTTACACAAACACACACACATGCAGGATTGAACCATGCTTGGCCTTATTTGCAGTTTGATTCTACTTGTCTTTCATGGCACGGTGCTGCTCACCAGGTGGATGGAACAGACAGATATTCTTAAACACGCACACGTCGTGAACAGGGGCTTTACACTCAAAGAAATGAGACATTCACTCATGATTCATGGACAATACATCTTGAACTGGTTACACATAAGACATAACGTGCACAACTATGTGCAGAGTCACAACTGTGTGAGACAGGAGCACTTCTGTCTCTGAGAGCACTTTGGAAAGGTCTTTCTTTCTCCAAGCCCCAAACCGAAGAAATTTAGGGTTAAGGAACTGGATTCCTCCGTAAGTGTAGAGGGGAAGTGCTGGGGGTCATTGCAGTGCTACTAGGGAACAGTGAGGGAAAGCGCTGATAGCCGTCATG